CGCCCTTTGCCTTGATTGAATTTGCCTTTTAATCAAAAAGCTTATTTATTTTGGGGTTAGTTGCCAATTTGCAATCGTCCACTGCCAGAAACAAACCTCGCCTTTCCTCTCTCTCCCTCGATTTGTTATAAACAGCAATAACCATAACTTGTGCAGTAAAATTGAGTGCTACTAGGTACTATATAGGATGTTAATTTGTCAGCTACCAAGTATTCTTATTGATGGTGTGGGGCGGGAGATGAGAAGGTGAAAAACCAGAAGGGGTTTCTGGGTTTGTGGTTGCTGGCTGGGGTTTCTGGGTTTGTGGGGGAGGGGTGAAAAACCAGAAGGATGGTCATGGGAGAATTGAGGGGAGAAAGAAATCAGGGGTAGGGGGTGGGTTGTTGGTTTCTCAAGATTTTTTTTTTCTTTTTTTGTTTATGTTTTATTTTCTCTTTTTCTTCAATTTTTTCTTTATTTTATTTTTTAATAAGTTAACTGAAATTGGATTAAATGTTGAGATTTAGATGGGAGGGGGAAAATTAGCTATAAAAATTAATTCATGTACTTAATTTTTCACAAAAAGAAGTTGAGAGTGCAAATTAAAAGTAGCATACAAAGAAGTTGATTTCCGCGCGCTAACTTTAGCGCTGGCAGAATCCAACGGTAAAGTGCCACGTGTCGTCACAGAGACGCTTCGATCGTTTTTTTCCAGAAATCCGACAGTCCTCGTATTTTGGCTAAAAAAATTCAAAAAAATTCTGAATTTAAAAAGAAAAAAACCAAAAAATTCTATATTTTTTTCCCTATAAATACCTAACCATTACCCAGAGGCGGACGCACTTGGGACAACAGGGTCACACGACCCCTTGGGATGGGGGAAATTTCGCCGTGAACTCTATCAGTTACCCTTTGGCTGTTATTTAAGTGACCTCTTGTCAAAATTTCATTTGTGCAAAAATACAAATGTCATCTTCCATCGAAGTCGGAGGGTCGTGGATAAATGTTCGAAGAGGTCAAAATCTTGGCAACGAGGTAAAAAAAAATTAAAATTTCCATTTTATTTTATATATATATTTCTTGCATTTCCAATTTCTTTTTTTTAATAGATTAGTAAAGGCAAAACAAAAAAGAGAAAAACCATTACACATGGCTCCTCAAGTGAACAATGCCCGCAGTCAGTTTCAGTGGTGCTTTCCGTGTCAGAAATAATGACACTATTACTTCTTCCGAAGGAAAATACTCCCCCACGTCGTGATCCGGTGGAACAACCTCCGCCAATGATGGAGTTGTCCTTGTATTCCATTGTGTCGGACTATGAGGACCAAAGATATTTCAATTGTATGATGAGTGAGTAGGTATTTCAATTGTATGATGAGTGAGATGTGAATTTTATAATAAATATGGACACGTGGTAACCGAAAATTTTATTTGAAAATTTTATCCGAAAAATGTTACCTTAAATTTTAAGTGAAAATTTTATAATAAATAGTGACACGTGACAACCGAAAATATAATCTAAAAAGCTTATCAAAATTAATGGTTTAAAGTATAAAAAAATAGGAAATAAAGTAAAATGAATAATAATTGCCTTAAACTTGCCCTAGACTTTGCCTTCATGAATGGAACCACAAATGAAAAGGCTGACACTATTCACGTGAATAGTAGCAGCCCTTGCTTGCCCTTATCTTAGACTTAGCCCTTGTGGGTGAAAGTGCTCTTATGCGTCTTACTTTCAGTAGCATGTGCATTTTGATTTCAGACTTGAAGGAACCGAGCCGGTTGAGCCAAGCGACTATTAGCATTTATGGGACATATTGTATCAGCAACTCCTACAGTTTTCAGGTCATATTCCATTCCGACTCAATTGAGGTCTACAATTTCCTTCCCATGATTCACACACTGACACTATACCATCAGTCCATTTATAATTACTATTATTTTCATTAAAAATATGTCAAAAAACATTTATATATGAAAACAATTTACTTTCACCGTGGGATGGGACATATGACTTTTAACGATCTACACTCACATAAGGAAACACAGGATGAATGACAACAGTGCCAATGCCCGCTTGCCATATAATTAATTTCGTAGAAGAAGCTGAGCTTTGACTCAGTTTAACAGAAACATATATAATAAAATAAAATAAAATAAAAGATTATATAAACAAATAAAGAGAAACCATGTCTCAGTTCGACTTTGTTTGCTCATACCGCAGACATCCATAAGTCCGAGCCAGCCTAGTATTTGTTAAATTCCAACACAACACAATGTCTTCAAATTTCAATCGAAAAAGAAAGGAGAAGAAAACACTACACAATGTCAATGTCTAGATAATTTAAGCACTGCACTACAGGCATACAAATTCAATAGTTGAAGCCACTTTTCCCTTCAGCTGTTGCATAGCATGATCTCTTGCTTCCGCTTCCTCTTTGACTTGTTTGAGTCCCCTATCCTTTTCACTAGGAAATAATTCACTAGGATACTCCCAACGCCGAACAGGATCAATAACTAATTTCTCTAGTGCAATGGCATTTTTTATAAGGTACATGACATGTTCAACAACACATATTTCAGCACGATACCCTACTATTTCTACTACCTTGAGGTTAGGATGCGGACATTTGCCAACTCTTGTTTTTTTCCTTATTCCTTCAAAGCCTGAGAAACCCAACTGCAAAGGACCCCAAGGACCATTTAATTAGCATGTTTTTATAAACCTGCTGAAGAAGACGTTACCAGTTTACACTTTACTTGCTTCAATATTGGTAATGGAATCAATAGAAGATGAACAAAATAATGGAAACTTCAAATTTAAATAACAAAATGTAATCTACCAAGAATGAATATATATTACCTTCAGCACAAGTCTCCGCAAGCAAGGAGATGCCTTCATGAAAGAATTTAAATGACAAAGAGCCCGGTGATTATCTGCTGTAACTATTAGTTCCAAATGCTTGAGATTTGCTAATACAGGAAATACATGATTCTCATTGTACATCTGAAAGCCAAACAAGAAGTAAGGAACTACATAATCCAAAAAGAAGAAAAGAAACCAACAATCATAATTACATTTACTAACCGCTCCTTCGATATCCAGCATGAGAACCGCTAGCTGAGAAAGACAACTTGAAAGTTGGGAGAAGGGAAGCACTATGGATTTACAGTAATAATGGCCCTCTTTATAGAAGGAAGCAACAAGATCCTCAGAGATGGATACCTCAACCAGCAAAGGTACGTTACTGAGAAGCAACTTTATCGCAGGTCCTTCGTAAATAAATGAAACAAGGTTTGTTGCATCATGAATTTCAATGCTTTCGAGGACCGCACACCATTGTATATCTAAATATTTCAATGCAATCGACGGACCAACAACTCTTAACTTTACCAAATTCATAGCAGAATTCACTGTTAATCTTTCAAGAACCTGACAGTTAGACAAAAAGTACTCGAGAACTTCACCAGTCACATCAACATACTGGAAATGAAGAACTTTAAGGAACTTAAATCCAACATTGTATCCACACGAGTGTAGAATTGGAATGTCAGAATGCATGTGCGTAAGCTTCGAGATAGAATCGTTTTTGAGACCTAATAGTTTGTGGGGAAATTGATAGGGTTCTGTATAAGGAGTAACAAAATCAAAATGAAACAAGAGCTCAAGTATTTGAACTCTCTTACTCATTGCATAATGAATCCATTTATCAATAGAACTTGTAAAATGAGAATTTATAGAATAGCAAACCCTAAATCGTTCAATGGCTGGGCCTCTATGTTGTTCCACCACAGTGTTTACCCAATCGATGTATCTACGTGTTTCCAGGTCTTTCAGTTCTGGTTTCATTTGCAAGAAGCGCCATAAATTTTGACGGAC